TTTTCTCAAAACGATTTTTTTTCCAAGAATTATCATTGTGAAAGAATATCAGTCACCATCTCCAGAAACGATATATGAAGTCGATTTCTTTTGCATTATTTGTTCAAAATATGTCAGATCATAGAAATTTAACTGAAAAAATAATTCAAAAAATATTTTTTTACCGCTACAAAACGGCCAAACAGTAAAAAAAACAATTTGATTATTCAGTCTTTTTCAGAGAAAGCAACGGGTTTATATTAAAACTAGAAGCAAATTTGGCTTCCAATATATGATTGGAAAGAGTGTTCTTTAGACTACATAAAACATCATGAAAAGTATTTTTTTCATTCTCTCCTGACATTAAAAAAAAAAAGAGAAATTAAAAATATGATGTTGCTCACGGATCAAGTTTGCAAGAACTTTTTTAGAGGGGTTTGATTTTTGGCTTTTCCTCCGTCTCAGATTCGTTCTAGAAAAATATGGCTCGTACAAAATTTGCAGTTCAGACATTGTTCTTTTCAATAAAAACAAAAAATATTTTCCAAGATATTGCTAAGCGGAGAACTATGACTGGAGATTTCGGCATTTACTTTTGCATCGTAGGTTATATATATTTATATTAAACTATGTTTAAATTTTATTGAAGTTTAGTTTGTCTTAGAAAATTCCAATAAAAACAACGAAGTATCTTTTCTCGAAATTCTGTAGTCAAAAAACAAATGTTCAGTTGCATTTTCATAAAAATGACAAGTACGTGTTGTGTTCTCTTACTGAAAATTAATTTCTTTTTAAACAAAAAAATGAAATTTGTCTAATTTTATTTTGATCTAAAATGCAAGTGTCTGTGACATATCTATTGAAAAATGAAAATGCAGAATTTTGACGTCAAATTTTGCCTAAATTTCAAGTAAACTCGATTTTTGTATTATGTTTGTGACAAGTGATTATGTTTCTTTTTTTAGAAATGCGATATCTCGACAAAAAAAAAACAATCGTTTCAGCTGAAATTTTAAAGATATTCCTATAGATCAATCAACTTATATAACGGCGAAATTTTGTTTTTCGGTGTATAATTAAAGGTAGATTCAATATTCAGTAAAATGATCTTAACTTGATTCCAAAGGTCCATCAGACAAACTTCTTTGGACGTTTTCTTGTCTTGTCGAGACATCTTTGTGCGCCCAATACAAGCTCAAACGGCCGATATCAGGTCGGATTATTCTCACATGAGATTATTTTTGTTACGGAGCTTCCATTGTTCTAAATCAAGTATAGAAGATATTCTGATATTTATTTTTAATTTTCCTTTCTCAAACTGTTATCCGATAAAATTGAATTTTTTTTTTATCTTTGAAAAGTACGAAATAACTAAAAACAAGAATCAACATAATGAAAAAAAACCTACCTCCACATTCGTAGCAAACATCATGTGGACTGAAAGGCTTTCTGGCACGAGGTGATCGACTACCCGATCTTCGACGACTTCGTCCTCCTCGATTTGATCGACCGCGACCATGTGAAAATTCAACACGAACACGTGAACCACAAATCATTCTACAAAAAAAAAAAAAAACTAAACTTTATTTTATTTTTAATTATTAATAATACTGACTTTCCATCAAGAGCCTTAACTGCATCAGCTGCATCACGTTGATCTTCAAAATCAATGAAACCTATTTGAAAAAATAAATATATTTATTTTTTATTATGAAATTTTTTGTTATTTACCATATCCCCATGGACTTCGTGAAAGCCTAATATGAATAAATAAATAAATAAACAAAATGCAAACAAACAAAATAAAATCTTACCAAACATTTCTCAATTTTCCATAATAACTAAATGTTTTTTCCACATCTTCTTTTGTTGCATCACGAGATAAATCTCCCAAAAAAACCTACGTTCAAATATAGATTAGTTAAATGAAATGTTCAATTAAGTTTTATTTTTGATCTATACCGTAACCGCCTCATCTCGTCCACTTGACATAATTCAATATTTTTATTTTCTTTCAGTTTTTTCTCTATTAATATAATCTAAAAATGAAAAGGAATTCATTAAAAAAAAATATTTCTTCAACTTAAACACGTTCATTTATGTTAAAATTATAAATAGAAAAGTCAAAACGCGAAGTAATAATTACACAAATGTTCTTTATAAGTGCATTCATCAAGTCCATTGTTTACAATACTATGAGTATAAGGAATAGTCGCCTCTTGTTTGGCTTATTTCCTTGTCATGGCCGAATAACGATGCAATAATATGAATCATATAATAGTTAATTGTTTTTCTCTATTTCCTATCCACCATTATTATGTTGACCTCCAATAGTTACTAAGTATTGGAAAATAAATTTTTTAATGTCCTATATGATATATATTAAAAGCCATTTTCAAAAAAAATTAATAATTAGAATTGTTTATAAAAATTTCCCAGTGAGGTTATTGCTATGTTGCTATGAGTAACGGAAAAGAAAATGGAAGTATACGCGACATCTGTGAAAAAAAAACAATAGAACTACTTGTCATAATTAAACAAACGTTAATAAATTAGAATGGTAAGTAAAAAACATATGCAAAAAAGACTAAATTAACTTTAAGTTTTCACATAAAAAAATATTCCGTGAGTCAAGGAGCAGTTTACAGATATAGATGAATTAAAACCTACGGCATTTACACATGAGTTTGTTTTGAAAAACTTGAGTTACTATGTATTCATAGGTTAAAAAGTTGACAATATAAGAACTGTTTCATAATGAATGATGCGTTGGATATTGAATCTTTATAAGATCACCTGTGTTTTATTAAAATTCAAAATTTATCATATGATGTAGCAAGAAAATCTTGATGATTTACAATAAAAAGATTATTTCTTTTTTATACATATTTTTAAAAATAGACAGAATTTTAATCGATCAATTTTTTAATACGATCAACAAGGTCATATATTGGTACAGGGCAAATTTCTTGTTTTTTCTTCGTTATTTACCTAATAGACAAAATTATACTTTATAACTATTTCGTGACAAAGAAAATGATTTTCAAGTAACTCTTGGCTTTCATATTGTGTATATAGAAAAACAAGTTCAACATAACTTCTATGGTATAAAGTGTTCCCACGTTGTAATAAGATTAGACATGTAAAATTATTTCCGAAAGCATTCCGTGACGTCATAATTACTAACTAACATGGTATTGCTTACAAAGTACAGATCTGTAATAATATAGATGCTTGTATGATTAACATACTACGTTCGGATCAGTGAAAAAAATAATTGAAATGCATTGTAAGTAATACTAAGACCTTAGACATTTTTTTCAAGCATTTTTATTATTGCTTTATAATTAAGAAAATAATCAAATAAGAAGAAAGAATTTTTCTTGTACCGAAAAATGCCTTTTTTAATGCAGAAAATCAATCTTCTAGAACTTTGTCGTTTCTGAAAAGAATAAATGTCTTTATAGAAATTATTTTTGTATTGTAAATTCTAGAATTTTCTTTATTATATCTTCTAATAAGTTCTGATTTTACATAACACGTACTTGATAGCTTAAAGGTAAAATCTACAAACTCATTAAACTTTATCGAATATTTGTTAAGTTTACATTTGAATGAAAGATGTAATGCGATTGTTTGAGTTGCCACTAATTTTCTTTTTACATTTCGAATCACTATGCTATCAAAACCAAGTATACATTGTTGAATTTTGGAACCTTTGATACCTAAAACTAATTTGTCAAGAATGCTTTGTTGTAATTTTTATCAGTGTGTTCGCTATAGTTATTTTGGTTTTTTCGATTTGAAGAAGATTTCTCGGAATGAAGAAGTTTTTTGGAAATTTTACAAAAATTTCAGTTACCTCTACCGCTGATCTATGTATTGACTTATATCTACCTCTTATTTGAACAGAGAAAATCGATTGAGTTTAGTCTAACAGTCTATATTCGTGTAAAACCTATCGTAATTTCTAAATTTATGAGTTAATATTTTGGATTCCTATGTGTCGTAAAAGTGTTTAGTTGCAAAAAACGACTTTACATTTGTTCTTTGTAACATTAGCATTATGAATTAAATTCTAAATTAGCTTTTGAGTACTCATATTTCGCCTTGCATATAGCCAATGAGCAATATTAACTCGCTTGAATTTTAAGAGTTAAATGCAGAATTCCTAATGGATTATATCTGACTTACTGATGTGTCTCATAATTGTAGAGGAAATAAGACTTTATGAGTCAATCAGCATCTCATTATCTGGTATTTCATTCTAATGTTAGAAAAAAAAATTAAATTGTTTCCTGACAGGTGCATTTATATTCGTTGGTTTTGTTTTGAATGACATTGAAGTCGATTTTATGTTTTATGATTACTTGGAGGATAAGTTTATGAATCTGAACATTGGAATACATATGTCATTGAACATAACATAAAAAATTAATATGAAGATTTTCTTCTGTCATCTAAATATATTTACTGAAAGGTTTAGAAGTTAACAACTGACTAAAATAAAATATTCGAATTTGTCTGCTAATCTCTTAAAGAATTCTAAATTTTTTATTTGGACGATATACCTAGACAAATATTCGATTTTAAATAAATAAAATATTTTACTGTGTAATGAGAAGGTAAGAGATTCGTCACATATTATTTTATTCGTGAAACTGTGATGTAGATAAAAGAAAAACCGGATCTTACACATCATAACATGTTCATTAATTCAATCATGATATAGAAGAACGTGCTGTTGATTCATATTCAAGAAAACTTATACCAACATAAATTTCTAGGTATCTCTTTTTTTAATGTTGACTGACACTTGAGAAAATAAAGTCTTTTAATTATGCACTATAATTGTGACATCAATTTCCTGTCATGAATTAATTGTATCTTTACTAGTCAAATGAAATCATAATAAATGAATTTGATACTTTATTTATTTTAATTAATCAAAAAAAGAATAAATAAATAAAACTAAAACAAATTTTAACTTGTCAATAGTTTTCTACTATTTAATTGATATTCTTCAATTGTACGTGATAATTTAATAAGAATAAACTTTTTCATCTCCTTCTTTTGTGTTATATGATAATTATTAAAGAAAATGACAGGAGGTGTAAAAACAATATTAATATGCGAGATATGAATTGAATTCATATTAAATCTCCTGTAAGCTAAAATTATATGATATTATTTTATTGCTAATCTATTTATAATATTTCATATAAAAAAAATATTAAATAATTCTTTTTTTTTTATATATACTATTTAGCCTCCAAAAGAAGTGAAAAAGGTAAATATTTTTGTTGTCGTTCATTTCGAATAAATAAATAGATAAATAAAATATTTTAATAGAAAAGTGCACGTGATCGAGCAGCATTACTTGAACAACTTAATATTCCACAATTAACAGAAACTTTATTTGATGCATCTTACCATGGAAATATTCCAAATTTAACAGAAATTTTAACAGCACCAACAAAAAATGTAGAAAATATTCGTTTTGAAGCTATACAACAGAATAATTTATTACAAGCAAGAAATGATCAAACGAGAACATGTCTTGATCTTGCTGCTATGCTTGGTCATCATGAAGCTGTCAAACTATTAGCAGAAAGAGGTGCAACAATGATGACTAATGGAATCAATTTAACCAATGGAATGGGTAAAAAAAAACTCTTTTTTAGAAGAATTACTTGAAAAAAAAAACATATTTAAAATAGGATATTCAAGTTTACATCTTGCTTGTGTATGGAATCAATTAGAATCTGTTAAATATATAATATCAGCTGGAGGTGATATTGAACACAAGACTGTTAATGGAGAAAAACCAATTGATATTGCTAGACGATATCATCATAATGATTTAGTTGATTATCTAGAATGGATTGGTAAGATATATTCAATCTTCTTCTTTCTTACAAAAAGAATTATGAAATAGTATATCTAAGCTACTCTTGTTTGTTTTTTGACTGTCTGCTTTTGTTTAAATTCTATAGCTATACGCAATACATTTACACGTATTATCAATGGTGCAAAAGATTTCATTGCTGATCCAACAAAAAATATGAATAAACTCAATAAAGATGATAAGGTGATTTTCATAAACACATTAATGAAACAAGAGAAATTATAAGATTTTATTTATAGAAAAAAATGGAAAAATATGTTAATGATGCACTAAAATGGTCTGATGAAAATCAAAGTAATTCAAATGCACGTGAATTATTTACAAATAAAAGTAAAGAAGCCGAAGATTTTTTTGCTCCTTTTTATGCAAATGCTCAATGTAAGTAATATAAGAAAACATATGCTTATATCTAAATTCTTGCTTTTAATATCTTTTTTTTGTTATGTTTATAGCGGAAACAGATTTGAATAATATCAACATAAGTAATGCAAGTCGACCACAATTAGGAACGCCAAAAAGTGGAAGAAAATAACATATTTCCAGTTTATTATCAAGAACTATGCAAACGAGGTGTTCTTTTTTGTCAGAAAATTATTTTTTTTGACATATTTTTTTCATTTGTTAATCAATAAATATATTAATCTAATCAATCATTATTATTGTTTTTTGGTTGCTTTAAATTGCAAATGAAAAAATAGTCTCTACAACGAAAAGAATATTAAGAACTTATAAATGTGGTGATGACAATATAAATATATAAACGCTGTTTTTAATATGAACTGACGTTAGTCGGCATATTAAAAAAAAATAATTAGACTACGAGAAGTTTATCATTCATCACAGAAGGTGGATTAATGCTATTGGTATCAAAATTTTCATTTTCATTAGAATGTTTCTTTTTTTTTTTTTTTAAATGTAAATTTTTGAAAGAAAAGTTCAAACAGAAAGTAAATATTATTTTCTTTTGATGACTCTAAATAAAATTAAGAGAAACAATTATGATTGGATGTAGTAAGCTGATTATTTATATATTCATAATAAATAACAAGAAGAACGATAGGGGATGCAGACTAAATGATATTTCTTATACAAATATCACAATTTTCGGCAAATTATTAGCATGCCTAAATAAGAAACAGCATTTCTTTTTTTATTTCCTGTGTGTCAAATCCGCATTTACTTCTCTAGTGTCGTATGTAATGCGACTCAAAGACGATAAATTTAATAAGCTAAACTAAATAAATCTAGTTATGTATGGAAATTAATAATGAAATGTTCGAAGTTTCAACCATAGCTTAAATCCGATCAGATCAATAATAATTATACAGAACTTAATTATATTCAATTCAAAGTGTTTAGTAGCAAAAAATAAAGAGAAATTATGATTTTTGTTAAATTTTCTAACCTAAAAACATTTATATGCTTCTGTTAACATTCGATCCGTTAATATTAATTGTCACAATATATTAAGAAATAAAGCTTATTAAAGTTTTCGACGATTTTCAACAGTACTCATCTATATAAATCCGATCATAGCGAAATAGTCAATTATCAGAAAAACAGTTAGTCGATCTCGACGAATAATTTTCTTGCTCTGTTCTCAATAGTACTTTTGTGTTTTCTACTATATAAAGAGAATACGTTTTATGCTAATCATGACATAAAGAGAGAATAACGCTAAAGAAGAATCCATTCAAATATATATGTAATGTATAGATGCCATGATATTTGTTAATATGAATAACAATATTAGAGAAGTGTCAGCTGAACATTATTTAGTTAATAAGCAAGGTCAATCAATCATGGTTCAAGTGATAAATATATTATTATTAATTATATCAGAATTTTTTTTTTTACTATGAATTCAAAAACAAACTTTATGAAAACCTTATAGAAAATGATATATTTTGAATATTTATATCTTCTTTTAGTTTATTTACAAAAATAAATCTTATAAAAACGATCTAAGCATAAAACCATACATAAATAGTAGATGCAAATGAAAATACAAGGAGATATTCAACTTAAAAGTAAGAACTCATCACATTAAAGATTGTAGAAATATTTTGCGTTTTTCGATAATATTAACTATTTGTCTTTCATTAATCATATTAGATTAGGATGTGTTTTTTTTACCTATAATATTAGTAATAACATCTTGTCTCGAGTATGATGAATGTCTATTAATGTTCGTTCTCAATAAAACGTTCTTTTTTTTTTGTCCGCTTCGTTATAATATTTTATTTATAAACCATCACTATATTAGTCAACTACTAATGAAAAAAAACTCTAAGTACGATGAAAAATGTTAGTAGTCATGCGTTTTTTTATAAACTCTATTGGTCTTTGTAGTTAAATGGCAAGAACTTTGTATGTTATTATTTAACATTTTAAAAACTAAAGTTATTAATAATATTTTCAGTTCTATATATTGAATAAGATAACTTTTAAAAATTTAACTTTAGTTATTTTGTTGAATTTTGCATTAAGAATATCTTACATTGTTTTTTTTTCTAAATACTAAAAATGATCTATCATAGACGATTTCTGTTCTTAAAGGCTAGACAGAAATAATTATTTTTTAGTTATAATTGTTCTCTTGATTTGAGTATATAAAGAATAAAAATTAAAGTTATATAAATTTGTTTATAAAACAAGTTATTTTACAAATCGACATTCTTTTGTTTATTTTCTTATGTACTTATTATGTAAAATAATCCTTCTATATTATTTTCATGATCTCATAGTAGCAGTAGCAATCAAGAATCAATATATAAGCAAAACATATCATCATCATTAACAAAAATGTGTTAATGATTGTGAATGTCCATCAACTTCTTCAAGATGAATAGAAGAAACAAAAAAAAATGAAAGAAAAGCAGTGAAAAATATACGCATGACAAAGTTAATATAGGCTTTCACTGTTATAATGACAAGAACGAATATGAATAAAGATTCCGGAAGAAAGCAGGTTGTGTCAAGAGATTGAAAAAATAATGGAAAAAAAAGCTCATCGCCGTGAAAGCTGATAGGTGCTAGAGGCAACTCTTTTCTTTGTTCTCTCTTTCTCTTTTTCTTTTTTTTCTTTTTTCTTTTATGTGCAATTAAGAATGAGCTAAAAAATAGAGACTTCATCATCTCTTTAGATAAATAGTCAGTAAATATGTGAACATGAATTATTATTTAACAAAAGCACAATAATGACAAATTTAACGTCACCAGAATTTTTACTCCCTGATGTTGAATCAGTTACATCATTACCTCATTGGTTACTAATGCCATTTATTACGATATCATTTATTGAAAGTATTCTTGGCATTGTTGGAAATACTCTTGTTATTATTGTTATATCATGTATTGGTAAATCAAATGCACCACATACACCATATAACTGTTTTATTGTTAATTTAGCATTAAGTGATTTAGTTTTATGCCTATTTACAATGCCTTTAAATACATATAGAACTCTAAATACTTATATGACATTTCCACCTGCATTTTGCAAATTAGCTGATAGTTTTCCAGCAATAAATGTATGCGTTTCGTCATTAACTATAGTTGCAATATCCATTCATCGTTATTTGGTTGTTTGTTATCCACATAAGAAACTAATTGGAACGTTTTTGACATTTATTATTATGATTGGAATATGGTTATTAGCTATTGCAGCAGCTAGTCCACTATTTATATATTCACGTTCATCAAAAGTTTATGATGAAGTTGTCGTTGAAACAATGACTAAAATTGCGTGTATTAATTCAATAGATAAATTATGTGAAGAAAATCATTATAGAACATATGGACGTTTACATGTTTGTCATGAATCATGGCCTAAACATGGTGATTGGCGTCTTGTATATACGATATTTATTTTTTTTCTTCAATTTATCCTTCCTATTTCAATTATTTGTATAACTTATTATCAAATTATGGTTAAATTACAAGAACGTATGTAAAAGTATTTCTTTTTCTTTCTTCTCAAGGAAATTGTTAGCCTTCTTCAATGTCAATGATAATGAAGATGCTAAATACAATAGTTAGAACAGTTTTCTATAAAAAAATAACAAAAACAATTTTCAAGGTTGAATTATTGAAATAGCAAGTTTATGTTTTAATATATTTTAATCAGTACTGAAATGTATTAGAATGATAAAAGACAAAATTTAATAATGAATCAATGAAATTTCTGAGAAATAATGAGTTCTAAGAGGATCAATGTTATAAATTTTTTAGTAAAAAGTAAGAAAAGTATAGAATAACGTTTGCATAATTTTGTTCGTAATAACATTCTATAGAATTTGAATCTTCTAGTTGAAATTTTCCAAGAAAAAAAAACCTGATGACATTTATTTTGTTGTCATTCTATTGATTAAATATTCTTATTAAACTCCGATAGTATTACTTTACAAAAATAAAATATTTTTTGTTATTTGTTCGAAGAAAATTAAGTAAAAAACAAAAAAAAAAAAGTCAAAGAATTTTTATTAATTAAAATTGTTTAGGTTTTCGATTTCGATTTTTGATCAGACGTCATAATATCGTCTCATTACGTCATGAAGTTAGTCGTCAAAGAAGAAATAATGTCCTTTTATTACTCATTGTATCATCATATGCTATTAGTTGGTTACCATTTAATATTTCATATACTGTGTTCACTTATGCAAATCGTTATCACATTGAAGCAGGTAATTAAAGTGTCATATTTAAAAGAATCTATTTTAATTTAGTTTTATTTTTAGGCAATGATCAGACGCCTCATGAAAAAAAAGTAAATGAATTATCTAAATATCTTCCATTACGATTTTTACTTTGTATGATATCAGCAATAGCAAATCCATTTTTATATGGTTATTTTAATGAAACATTTAAAGATGGTTTAGAAAAAATCTTTTCATTATGTTGTCGACATATGAATAGACGTATAAATGAAATGCGTTATAATCAATCAAATATTCCAACATCAAAAGTAACATTAAAAAAACTTCAAAATGTTGATTTTGGAACAAAATGAATTTTTTTATCAATTATCATTACATAAATATTCAAATAATGATGTTTCAATTCGTCTATCAACTCGATTAACTATAACAAACTCAAACCATCTTTTATTTTCGATATCATCAGTTAATTGATACTTTTTCTAATTCATAAAAAGTGATCATATTTTGCTTTACGTGAAAAAAAAAAATTCAAGATAAATAAAGCGAATTTAATATTTGAAAATCGAACACTTTAGAAATTAATTGCAAATAAAAAGCATTCTTTTTTCATACATAATTACTAAAACCTAAAGAAGAACGATGAAAAATGTTTAGAATGTTTTTTAATAATCAAAAGTTAAAAAAAAAAACAACTTTTTAAATGCAAATAAAATATCATTTTCAATTCTTAGAATAGACTATCATATTAATAGAACATCATGATTACGGTAAATGGTTTTTTTTTCAATTAAGGAAAAATGTCCGCAAACCAGAAGCTAAGAGGAGGAGAAGAAGAAGAACTATAGAATCGCTAGTGGGAAAATGCCCGAATTGTTAAATCAGCAAAAAGTTTATACATGTAGAAAAAAAAGTGAAGAAAAACCATTAATAAAAGATAATTAAATATTTAATTTTCTTTAGATTCATAATGAAGATCGATCTTGTCAGTTACTATCAAATAAATTAATGTATCGATAACAAAGTGAACATTGACATTGAGACTCTTCTTTCCACTCATATCCGATTTATATATGGGCATGGCCAGTCATGTGATACCCCATTTTGATACACTCCTATTGTAAGGATAAAACATACTATTGTTCGGGTCACATAAGAGAGGATCCTAGATAACCCTGGATTGGCCCGAACAAGATGATGTTTTATCCGTACAATAGTTGAGAAAAGCTACTAGCTTATCGTGTGAGTTGGTAGCTTTTCTCTACTGTTGTACGGATAAAACATCATGTTGTTCGGGTCAATCCAGGGTTATCTAGGATCCTCTCTTATATGACCCGAACAATAGTATGTTCTATCCTTACAATAGGAGTGTATCAAAATGGGGTATCACATGACTGGCCATGCCCATATATAGCGAGAAAGCTCGGAACGCGCTGCACCTTTTCGTATATTTACATTAAACATCAAATACAGTTTAAAGTGTAAAAGCTGTAGTAGAAAAAAGTAACCTTTTTTTTACTACAGGATTTCCACAATGTTGTAACATTTTTTATTTTGTATGTATCTCGGCTTAAATAAATGATAAAATCTTGAATTTCTTTCCAAACGATGCGCCATGAAACACTCTGCAAAAACTGTATAATTGAATTCCTTTCTCTAACGGTTTTTCTTATGCTCAAAACGACCACCTACATGACAATGTCACATCCCGTCATATTGAAAATCTTTGGAAGACTTTTTTGTTTTGCATATATCTTGACTTGAGAAAATGATAGAATATTGAATTTTGTTTTAAAAGATGTGCCGTCGAAAACTCTACAAAAGCTGTATGCACCAATTCCTATAGTAAATCAGAAAAGTTTTCCAAAGATTTTCAATATGATGATAAGTGACATTTTCATTTAGGTTGTTCGTTTTGAGTATAAGAAAAACCGTTAAAACAGGTAGAAAAGAATTCAATCATGCAGTTTTTGTAGAGTTTTTCATAACGCATCTTTTCAAAACAAAATTCAAGATTTTATCATTTATGTAAGCCGAAATAAGTAGAAAATAAAAAATGTTACAACATTATGGGAACCTAATATTGTAGTGGGAAAAAATATCGCTTTTTTTCTAATACATTTTTTACACTTGAAACTACGTTTGATGTCTAACATAAATATATCGAAAGATGCAGCGCGTTCTGGGCTTTCTCACTATATATAGTAGATTAAAAAGTAAAAGAAGTATAGTAACAAAAACAAAAGGGGAAATTTCAATTGGCTTCCACTGTAGATAAAATATGCGATCTCAAATACAAATATCTCTCATTAAAATAACTTCATCTCCAAATTATTATAGAAGCGTTCTATTTTATTTATACTGCTATTTATCTTCTGTTGTTTCTCATTAAGTTACCAACTGCTCGTATTGACAGTAGAAGAGTGTGAGGAGTAGATATGCATCGATTGATCTTAAATTTTAGCAGCTAAAATGGAAAGGAACTATTGCCCCTTGGTGTGTACTTATTAATCGTTTGTATTTGCTTCCAGCTATTAGAGCTAAGAGGGAAGACTGAAACATTTCAGCTACCATCACACTGTCTATGTTTGATTGGCAATACAAATACACTCAATAATAATATAAATTTAACGTGTCAAAAATAAAATAAAAATTTTATTTTATTTTGGATTGTTTTAATTTATTAGCAAAATAATTGAAATTTTAATGAAAGAACTATGAAAATACATCCAATGACTTTTATAAACATTTATTAAATATAATTGTTTTATTTTTTGGATGATTTTATAACAAAGCTGAGCAGAATCTTTTCTAATCATATTTACTTAAATAAAAGAAAAGAAAAACATTGAGAATTGAAAAGATTTATTCTATTTTTCTCTTATTTCTTTAAGTCCGACCAAACATTGAATCTAAACAATTGCATGGGACTTTCATCAGACGATGGAGTCAATATTTAGAGGGAGTCCAATCTATCAGTATGTAATTCAAATATATCTATAGAAGAAAAAATAAATTCTTGTTATTTAGATGAACATGCAACTATTTTTGAACAAGATCTTTCTCAATTAGTTGAACAATTAAAACAATTTGTCTTTCTCGATATTTATGGCAATATTTCTTCTAAAAAAGTCAAACCTTATCGTTTAATGGTCCAAACTCGCTTTCCAAATAGTCGATTTGATGTTCACATATCAAGGTTTCGTCTTTGGATGTAATTATTATTTCTATTTTATATTATGACATCACTATATGTTAAACAAAACTGTCATATTTCTCTTTTTTTTTAATTCTTAATACATCAACATTTATTTGTGCTATTTCGTGTGAACGTATATCCCCCTGGTCAAAATAAGTGGTACACCTTATTTTTTCGATTGTTTCTCTCTACCATTATCGTTCCGTCTCATTCTTATACCACAGATACATCTTTGATTACTCAATCTATCTTGAAAGTTTCAGCTCTATAGACTAAAAATTAATGGAGAAAATTACCAAAATATCTCATGCACTCTAGTATGGTTGTAACAGAAATTCGTTATCGTACTTTTTTCAAGGATGTTTTTAGAGAGGATTTCTGTTCTTTAGTCATCCGCTGCTACGTAATGGAGATGTGATTAAAATCTATATATAATGTTCAGTGTCTGTCTGTCTGTTTCTCTGTGCCGGGTCAAAGATTAAGGATTCTAGAATTTTCACCATCAGGAATGCTAGCTCATAAACTTAAATTAAAGATTGGTGCAATAGTAATGCTTCTTCGCAACCTCGACGTAAAGCAAGGTTTATGCAACGGAATTCGACTCATCGTACGACGGTTACAAAATCATCCGATTGATTGTGAAATCGCAACAGGATCAAACAAAGGAAGCCGAATTATAATACCCAGAATTACAATGACACCATCCGATACATTTTTACCATTCAACTTCCACACA